CCACCAAAAGGCCTTTGGGAATTCTTTAAACTCAGCTTCGCGATAATTGGAACGTACACAGTGTGACACACACACAAGGTGAAAGGTTACACACATAGTACTACGTCTCCAGCCTCTCTCACTCCCTTTGGCACCGGTAGTAGCTTGAAACACTAGGCCTAATTAACAAACAATAGACGATGGGCCTAAATCTCGCGTCGAGTATCTTGTCTGCTGGAGTTCATCCGTTTGCCCCCCCCGTTCAGTGAATAAAATTGTGGAGCGGACCCAAGAAACAAACTGACTTGAGGCTTGAGGTCAGCAGTCTGCTCGCTGAGAGAGTAAAATAGTGCAGGGCACCCAAAAAACTAACTGTCTTGAGGCTTGCAGTTCGTTCGCATGGCCGTCCGTTACCCGCTCGCTCAGACTGAGTCCGCGAGTAACGAACCTATCCGTCCGCTCGCCCCAACTCTACTGCACAGATGCAGAACAGGAGTTATAGCCACAGAACTATATTTCATAGGCTACTAATCATAGTCATAGCCACAGCAAAGAACAAAGGATGGGTTAGGAGTGAGGAAGAGGTTATTAACGACGATGTAAAGGAATTTTTAAGGGCAGTTACAATTTGGCATGCAAACCTCACCCCCAACATATAAAAACATTATCCTGTGCAGATCTACAAAAGTTTTAAAAGCTTTCAGAAAATAGCCTAATTTAAATCAATGAAACAATAAACGAAATTGGAGCTTCGCCAGACAAATCACTGCTTCATCATATCAAGCCAAAATATAACATTTGATTTGCTTCATTTGCACTGCTATCAAAATACTGAAAGTAAGACTGGACTCATACCTTTATAATGCTGCCACAGTGATTCTATTTTCCGTTTGTCCACTGAAGACCTGGAATCAGCAGAGCTATAACGATCAGGGGCCATGAAGTAGTTGTCGACTGCTACATCAAGCCTCCAATCATGTGCACACAAACAGTTGATGGCAGTCTTTTCACCAGTTTGAGTGAAGGCGACAAACTGCCGCACTTTATCTTTCTGAGAACTCTTTAACCGTTGCTGTAAAAAGAAAAAAATACACAATCAAAGAAAGCACACAAATACAAACAATGTGTGAACAAACTAACAATAATCGGATCAGACGCAGAAGAAGTGCATTAAATGTAGAAAGAATTTAGGGCAGGGTGTAAGTTTCTCACCATTTTCGGATGTTTGCAAGATTGAGAATCGCTTCCGGTTGTGGTATTGAACATGCGCAGTGAAAACACTCCGTGCACTTTAAAAAAAGAGGATGTAAAAATATGCCTTTGAGGGCTAGATATACTTCAATTTTTATTTCCGACACAAATTATAGATCACAAGATATTAAATTGGTTTCGAATTGAATGCGTCCATAATTATGACTTGTATACAGTTCACTTATTTGTGAGAACGAAAGGGGGTCATTTATTTATTGAGCATGTAGCGAAGGATAGGAGGTGTGTAATAAGTGTACCAAACCATAGACTAACTACTATTATTATAGAACCAGAAAGTACAGCTACAGCTTCAAGGGACGGGGACAAACAACATTGAACACACAACAAAATAGATTGACATGTTAAAATCACACGATACGTCATATTGTGTGTAGATCCACATATAGGACCCATTCTCCCCCTAAAAACATAGACTTTTGAATTTAATATACTGTTATATCCTATATCGTTTACTGTCATGGCCGCTGCTCGATTGCTCTATTACAAATATTAAAATTTAGCTGCGAAGCGTGCATGCTAGCTGTGGCTGGCGCCAATTACGTTCAAATTAGGGGCAAAGTGCCCTGCGGAGATGCGCTGGTTGGTTTTAATTATGGAATTAAACGAAAGCATCTTGGGTGCAATGTTTTCTCACAACGATATTATTCTTGCAAATGCTTTTGATCCGAAGTCTTTGACATCTGAAACCAATTAATATTATAAATTTCCTTTTTTGATTGAATTACGGTAGAAAGAAATATGCAGTCGCTCATAATACATGTACATAGGAGAGAAAAACACAAGGTAATTTTTAAAAAAACAAAAAAACATTAATAAACACACCTGCAAAGAAACTCTGGTGATATAATATTGCTTAATTAATTACTGCTGCGCCACTGTTGCTGCTGCTGCAGTTACTGTTACTGCTACTAGAACAAGCCTGGTATAGAACAGAAGCCAAAGGTATGATGCCAACATCTCCGCTCCGGTTTTGAAAAACTTTTTTTGTTGTTGTTGTTGTTGCTGGTTGTTAAATGATTGTTGTTATGCCGGGTTGTTGTGATTGTTTTGAATTGTTGTTGTTGTTGTTGTTTTGTTTTGTTTTGATTTTTGGTAGGGCCCTAAGAGTTTTACGGTGCTCGCAACAGCAACTGCATAAGGTCATTTGGCCATGCGGGACACATTTAACATTTATTTCAGTTGGATGGCGCCAAATAAAGCCTACTCTAATCGATTCTGGACCTCCATAAAGAATCTTAATTAACGTGTGCAACTTGCACACGGGACCTCCGAGGTTTTTCGCCCTTGTCAGTGAAGGCAAGGTGTAGATCTTTCCTACCTTAAGATCAGGGGAGTGGCTTAAAGACAGCAGTTGAGTAAGAAGGAGCCAAGAAGTAGCAGTAGAAATTAAGGCTGCAGAAAAAGTGCAGGAGCCCAGACGAGGGGGCAATGGAGGTGAGGGGGTGGGGGTAGAAAGTGGAGACGAAAGCAGATGAATGAACATTTTTAGAGAGCAGGAAAGGATGTGAAAGGAGAAAATTTTCGACAAGAAAAATTTTCCGTTACTATTCGGATTCGAATGAGAGGCGAACCCCCCCT